TATGCGTCCTCCGACAGGAATCGAACCTGTATCCTACCCTATACTTAAATATTTGTATCTATAAAAAGAACGTATAAACTGTTATGATGTTGATTTGGGGTTAGTAGAGACAAACGCCAAATAACAGGTAACAATAAAAAGGGTTTTAATAGGTTGGTAAAAAGGTACAGAAATCGCCTGAGTAGTCAATAACTAGCTCAACTGAGAACTTCTCTGTCTCTCTGTCTTTTGACATGCCACTATTTAAAGTCTTTGTTCGCAGACAAGTTCATCTTCAAGAGGGGTGGTAGGTTTCCGACACAACATAAACATAAAAAATGTCTTATTTTCCGAACACATTATGGCCGTGTTCGTAGTTAATATTACTGAGTATTGTTTTATTATTGAGGCTTCAATAACGATAGGGAACACACCGTTAAAAATAACATATTTTCTATAAAAAACAAATACACGTCAACTACAAACAAGATGAATCTTCACTTAGAAATATAATAAAAAAATACACTACCCCAATTGAGACGAATAAAAAAAAAATTAAATTAATTATATACTATAAAAAATTTAAAAGAGATAACCTCAAAATCAAAATTACAAAGAACGAACATTATTTACGATTTCAAATACCCCCTTAAGGAACTGCGTGCCTGATCAAACCGGACTCATAAATAATTACATCAGTCACACAACTACATGCCTATCTAGACGCCTTACATTACACCTATATGATTACAACTCTATTAGAACCCATTTAAACACACACACAAACTTACCAGACTCTATCCGAAACATATTAGTAGAAAATACAAACATAACCTTATCCACATGTAAAAAAAGATTAAAAATAATAGAAACTTTCATGATAAAAAAAGAAAAAAGCCAATATTCAATAATCCCTATAATTCTAGATACATACACACAACGCTAACACTCAGTTAAAAGGTAAAAATAAAACCATCCTTGATAATGGGTAAAAGTATAGCCGAAATCGCTTGGAATTACAGAACATTTGGCCAGTTTCTGTACACTCTGTGTCAGCAAAGAAAACACTTTTTCGAACAGAAGAAAAATTAAAACAAAAAAGTTTATTTGCAGTACATTGTCTGTTGTCTTTAATATAAAATATATATATATATATATATATATATATATATATATATATATATATAGACAGCAAAAAACAAACATTACACCAACAGAGAGAGAGAGAGTCTTTTTGAAACCGTTTTGTCTCGGAGCATTTTTAAAAAATTATTTTCAATGTCAGTCCTCCTCTGGTAGACGCCTTGTTAATTAGAGTGGGTTTGTGTTAGCGATTGGTGGGGACGTAAGTTATCTTATCACGAGAGAAGCGGTCTGGGGTTGGAGTTTATTTATGGTCATGACTTGTTGTTTGTAGTTTAATATCAGTTCCTACTATGTGGTGGACACACACACACACACGCATATATATATATATATATATATATATATATATATATATATATATATATATACGAGGGTCATTCAATAAATAAAGTGAATTTTTCGGTATAAGGACTTTTAATACAGATAGAAGCTTACTTTTTTTTGTTTTACTTCTTTTTCACATGGATTCAATTTCTTTTGCAGATTAAAAAAATATTAACAAAGATGGCCGACCAAGAAGCATGCTCCAGGATTGAACAGCGGTCAGTTATCAAGTTTTTGATTTCTGAAGGGTGCAAACCAGTTGAAATTCATAGGAGAATGTCAACTGTGTATGGTGCCACATGTTTCAGCCAAAAAATGTCTACAAGTGGGCTAAATTGTTTAAAGAAGGACGGAGCAGTGTTGAGGATGAAGACAGACCTGGGAGTGATCGAATCAGTCAATGACCTCATTCAGTCTCAGAGAAGAACTACTGTGAACTGATGAGGCAGGTCAAGAAAGACATAAAGAACAAACGCAGGAGTCATCAGTCAGAAGGAGTCATCTTGCATCATGACAATGCAAGGCTTCACACAGCAGCCCAAACGGTGCAGGCCATCAACGAGCTGGGCTGGGAACTGCTCCCTCATCCCCCTTACAGCCCAGACCATGCCCCTTAAGACTTTCACCTGTTTGGTCCCTTGAAAGCGTTCACGAGAGGCACGAAGTTTAAAAGTGACGATGAAGTCAAAAGTGTTGTGAGCGACTGGCTGAGACATCAGTCCAAAGATTTTTACGCTGAGGGAATACGGAAGCTTGTGCACAGATGGGAAAAGTGTGTGACAGTGCTGGTAGACTACGTTGAAAAATAAAAAAGAAAAAAGTAAGCTTCTATCTGTATTAGAAGTTATTATACCGAAAAATCCAACCTTATTTATTGAATGGCCCTCGTATATATATATATATATATATATATATATATATATATATATATATAACCATATATATTATATTTTATTTATCAAGAGACAGTATTGAGAACATTTTAAGACAAAATGGAAAAAATTTACTTGTGACGCGTTTCGACTGTTTGGACTACATAGGACTGGGTTTGGATTATTTTGTTTTTGCTAATATAAAAGCAACTATTTAATATTGAATCACAAACTAGACCTCACTTATTAACTTTTATAATATTTATTTCTTTTTCTTTTCGTATTGGTAGGCATTTATTGGTATGATTATTTCTGGTCGCAACACCTATTGTGCAATCTCATCATAAAATTAAATTAAGAAAATATTAGCGAAAATTAAATCGAGATAAATAATAAATACGATAGAAGCATTAATGAAATGTTTTATTAGTAGTTCTATCCGAGTTACGCTGTGAACGTTCCATTTACAATGGTCGGCCCTCCGGGGGGAAGAAATGGCGATTCAGTTGTTTTCGCTTGTGAGGAAGAGACAACACCTTTTGATTCCTTCATAATTGGACCTGAAAATAAAACAAGGCGAAAATAAATATACTCGTATTCTGATTTTAGAGAGTTAGAAAGAGAGATGATCTCGCGAGACGTTACGATAACATAGCTTGTTCTCTCGACAGAGGCAGTAACAAAAAAATAACGTCTTGATCCTTATGACCCCTCACCCACAAAAAAAAAAAAAAAAAAACCCGGGGAAAAACCATCAAAATGGGAAACGTAAACAATCAAAGGCATCAGTAGAATACAGCACGTCAAAATCAAAATGGCCGCCTTGTACATACAAAAAGACGAACAAAGACTTCCGGTTGGGAATTTTTATAGAAGCAACGGGATACGTGCTGAGATGGATGGAGTGTATTTAGGGGTTCGGACGCCGGTGGAGGTGAGTTGGTGTCGGGAGGGTGTGATGTTTAACAAACTTGGCGAATCATAATAAACTGATCTTTAAAATTGTGCTTCCCTTCTCTCTCTTTCTCTTTAATTGTCTCTTTGACTAACATCCATTCTCTCTCTCTCTCTCTCTTTCTATCCCTCTCTGTCTCTTTCATTCTCTTTTTCTCTCTCTCTTCATTTTGCTTCTGTCTCTTTCTCTCATTGTACGAAGTCAGCTATTTTTCTTTATTCGGTCTAATCCAAGGTGTAGCTACATCACACACACACACACACACACACACACACACACACACACACACACACACACACACACACACACACACACACATCGATTTTAAACAGATTTCGTTAAAATAATTAGAATCACTACGTGATAATAGTAAATGTAAAGATATAAGGCACACATACATACACACACATTTATGTATATCATATATATATATATATATATATATATATATATATATATATATATATATATATATGTAAGTATAGATTTGGTATAAACGGAATCAAAGTAATTATGTTATAGCATCACTACAAAAATAGACATTTTGTTTCAACACTTCTGCTGTCTTGTCAAGTGATGGTGATGATTGTAAGTAGTGATATTATAACATACTTATGTTATAATGTTTAAATAAATATTATATATATATATATATATATATATATATATATATATATATAGGTAAATAGTGAAACATAGACAGTATGACCTGACGATTGCGTATAAGCACATAACCTCATATCTATATTATATATGATGATATATATTTCAGATAAATAGATAGATAATGAACAGAATGATATATATATAGAGAGAGAGTGAGATAGATAGATAGATAGATAGATAGATAGATAGATAGATAGATAGATAGATAGATAGTGGGCAGAATGAGATAGATAGATCCAAACTTAGATATATTCATATAATGAACAGAATGATATATATATATATATATATATATATATAGATAGATAGATAGATAGATAGATAGATAATTAAGAGAATGAGATAGATAGATAATGGAGACAATGATTGATAGATATATAGATAGATAATGAACAGAAGGACATAGATCGATACTTAGATATACTCGTACATAGATAGATAGATAGATAGATAGATAGATAGATAGATAGATAGATAGATAGATGTGAACAAACCGATATGGATAGATGTATAGATATTAATAGACTGAAATTGATATAAAGAGAGATAGGTATAGACCGAAAACAGATATGAACAAACCGAAAGAGATAGCCAGCCAGCCAGATTGATAGATAGATAGATAGATAGATAGATAGATAGATAGATAGATATAGAAGCTATATTGATAAACAGACAGACAGATAGATATGAAAATCCTGAGATAGACATGAGCAGACTGATAGAGATAGATAGATAGATAAATAATCTAAACCGAAATAGAGATAGATAGGGATAGACCGAGAGAGAGAGATGAATAGACCCAGATAGATAGGTAGATAGATCTATACGAAGAAACTATTATACAAACAGACTGAAATAGACCGATAGATGAGGAGGGGTATAAAAAAGTGAAAAAAAAACTATTGCATTCATCATTTCTTAAACGTAATCGCATAAGAAAATATTCATTTTTCATCTGTCCTTTACGCAAAGAAGAAATAGTTTGAATACGCAAGGAATAAATCTAGCTTTTCTTTCAACTCGAACGAAATACAGTTTGTGTTTGTTGGGGAGGTTTTCGAATATTTTTTGCAAAAACCTAATAAAATATATCTGGCAAAGATGCAGAATACTGTATAAGGCTGCAATCTTTTACAAGAGTCCTCGGAGTCTGGAACTGAAATGGCTGGCGTCAGAGCAACACTGATAGTAGTTGCAATATTTACAAGAGCAACGGTAGAAGCCGTTGTTGTCTAAGTTGATACCTGTCATTGGAAACCCGGATGTAGTGCCTTATGTAGATATCAGTTTAGCCGGAAGGTCACCATGAGGATAGCGATCAGTTAGAAATGGTCTATGGACAGTGACAATTTAATGAAGACCTCGGTGTCATTCGCAAGGGTAGTGAGCGGTAGTGGGATATCTCCTTCTCCGGACTCGAAAAACAAACTTAGGAAGTGGTGTTGATGGCGGAAGGACGGACAGAGAACAGGGACGTAGGTGAGGGAGATGGGGGGAAGATGAAGTGTGGGGGAGGGAAACGCGAGTTGGAAAGCGAGCTGCAAAACTGTGGCCTGATGACAAATGAACAATGAAATCATGATTGCTTCCGTGACATCGTTGTTTGTTCATTCCCGAAACGCGACGTTGGATTTTTCCCGCCATTCTGGGTCCTTCGTTATTAATTACTGAACAAACGAGATTCTCGTAAGTATTTTATATGTATGGAGGCACCTTTACGCAATAACCAGATTATTTTCGCCCCGCAAACATTTGCATTTCGTTAGTATAATTGTTAAGTTGCCGTTTGATTGATAAAAAAAAAAATTGAGCTAGTTATCGTAATTTAGGGTATATAAAAACCTCTATTCACTCTCGCCAACAAAGCGATCCCAGAATATCTCCCGGGTCATATATGAGACATTAGTATAGCTGGTGGGCTGATATCGGGTTGAAAAATTAATTCGTGGCATTTTTAATCATGTGGTGATATTCAATAACCGCCCCATCCGGTCGGATGTGGTACAAGGCCGAGTTTATTGTGCGGTATCCGAGTCCGTAGGCTCGGCCAAAAATTCCCCGTATACCCTGCAAAAAACGGGGTCGGGTTAGCTGTCTACCACCCCAGACGAGACCCTGTCCTTCGGCATAGCCACGTCTGGGTTCCTCTCTGTCCGGAGGCAGAGAGTTTGACCAGCACACTTGGAAGTGAAAGCCAAGTGGTGCTTGAACACGAGATTTTGTTTAACACATCACTGAGATTTATGACATAGACATAATCTGGCCAAAATTTAACAAAAGTTGCCTCAATACAAACAGTGTCTCAAAATGACGGTTTCTTTTTAATCTTTTAATCTTTTTAATCTTTTAATCTTTTTAATCTTTTAATCGTTTTAATCTTTTAATCTTTTTAATTTTTTTAATCTTTTAATCTTTTTAATCTTTTAATCTTTTAATCTTTATAATCTTTATAATCTTTTAATCTTTTTAATCTTTTAATCTTTTTAATCTTTTAATCTTTTTAATCTTTTTCGCTATTATTCTTTATTCTCTCGGCAATTTTTATTATTTTAAAATTTTAATCAAACTAAAACATATAAAATTAGATTTTGACATTTTCATTTTCCTCTAGAACTGACAACAAAGATGTTAAACACTAATTATTTAACATCTTAAAGTTAGGATACTTGTCTCCGTTCGTAGTTGCATAATTAAAAAAAAACTTGTAATTCCAACGAATGATTTATTGAGATTTATTGTAAATTAACACAAGTATGGCACAAGGTCGAAAAGGGGGAATAGGTTGAGACTGGTCTTCACTAACTATCTTATACCTGGCTAATCGGATTCACGACCCATTCACTCGTTACAATTTCCTCATTCACCATAAAAACTCATCCGTCGTCAATCAACCCTCCATACACCATAATACCACATCCTTTCCGGAGGTGGGGGAGCTAAAAAGAACAACCCAATGAGATGATAAATATTATTTACGATATATATACAACGAATGATTTATTTCATGGAAATAAAAAAAGCGTATGCTCTTACTTTGTAAACGTCATCAATTCGGTTTTTCTCTTGATTTGAATTCTTAAGCGTTTCTAGTTTCTTTGCATTGTTTTACTCAAATTAAAAGCGTGACCAAGGCTAGCAAAATCTAATTGAAATATTTCCATGAAATAAATCATTCGTTGGAACTACAAGTTTTTCTTTTAATAATTTATCAGATTGCTTAATTACAAGAACAATATTACATTTGCAAGTTGATAAAAATATGTGAACCAAGTACTCGGGGCCCCTAAAATCTAGACACGTATGAAATATCATTAACTATATATTTGTTTTACCTCCACAGATTAAACATGGTTTTGTTGAAAGAAGAAAGAATTGGCTTTTTTTCTGGGAGTATGTAAAAGGAGAAGGTGTACTCAATGAAGATCACCGATGCAACACACTTGATTGAACACATAAAGAGTGAAATTGACTGCAATGTTGTGTTATTGCATCGAGTTCACATCAATCTTGCAAAGTGCATTAACCTTTGCATGACGAATGATGGAAATCATATTGAAGATGTTATTTGTTAATATAACAATTCAATAAAATATTGTTGAAAGTTTAATTTCTCGAAAATATGCATTTTTGCCTAGGGTGTCCAGACTTTAGGGAGACCCTGTAGAATGAATTATTTATTATTTACAATATTATACAGAAATAACTACGAAATTATTTTTCATTCATAAATTTATAAAAAATACCTGTGATCAAGAAGACAAGAACATTTAAATATACGATGGTCAGCTGAAAAGTTCATAGACTGAACAAAATACTCGAATAAAATATGACCAAATGGGACTTATTTTTCGACATAAATCCACTTGCAGTCCACACATTACTTCAATCACTGTTGCAGTGCTTTGACCCACATTGGTGAGGAAGCTTGCATCCTGTTGGTCAAAAAAGTCATGGAAAAAGGCAGATATGACGTCGTCCTCACTGTGATACTGATTCACATCCAAGTGTTTTTTCATGTTGGGGAACAGATGATAGTCAGTTGGGTCAAAATCAGAAGAATAGGATAGTGATCAACCAGTTGAAAATCATAGTTACGCACAGCAGCTATTGAAACAAAGGGCTTGTGGGCTGGAGCAGGGTCCAGATAAAACAAAATAACTTTCGTTAGTCTGCTCTTGATATACTTTTGTAACTGTCTGAGCAAGTTCACATAGTGCTCTCCACTGATGGCGTGGCCCTCATGAAGACAGTCAATAAACACAATGCATCGTCATGCCAATTCATTGTGCAAAATATTCTCAGTTCTCTCAGTGTATAAGCTAAGAGCATTGGATATTTGATACAATGCCCATTGCATGTCATCCATCACCATGCGATGAACACGATCAATTTTTCCTTAGAGGTGGTAGTTGCAGGACATCTAGATTTAGGTCATTTTCAAGACGCACTCTTCCACTCCTAAATTCAGCTTCCCACTTTTGCACTGTTGATAAAGATAGAGCATCATTAACTAATGCGGCAACCATGTCAGCATGAATGTTCTTGGTACTGAAGCCTTTTTTTCTGCAGGCAATAAATTTTGTCCATTTTCAAGAGAAGATGGTACTGGTTACTTTTGAAGTATTATTTGAACAGTGAGATGTACATTTACATGGAGAGAAACAATGCAGTTATTAATGAGAAGAGTTGAAATTAATGCATGCAAAATTTCACAGCTCTAGAATCACTCCTTCATTTTCAGCCTATGAACTTTTCATCCCACTCTCGTAAGCATCGGGACGTGTAACTGTAACTATACATTTGAATAATGCATTTTCCTCTCACTTCTTCCATTTCCTTTCGCCGCTTATAAACAATACCGAAGTTGTATATATAAATAACGGTTTTAAGAGACAAACCGTCCTTCGACGCACCTTATATTTTTTGTCGGTGAATTTCTTGAACTTTGCTCATATTCAGAAAGATCACCTTTCAATGCTATGTACATTTCGTGCTTTTGTGTGTACATTGTGAATTTTTAATGTAAAAATGGAAGAAAATGAAATGCGTTTTTTTTTGTTATTTGATACACTTTTTGCCGTAAAGAAAATAAAATGATGTACGAACAGCCAAAAAGATTTGTGCCTGTTGTAGAGATGATTCCATAGCTGGGACAACCTTTTGTTAATTATTCGCTGGGATCAAAAGTAGAATTTTTTTATTTGAACGTCCGAGGACCTACCATCAGGTCTGCAGTCGATGATGATGAACAAATTGAAATCAACGAAGGATCCGCAATATTATGGGTCCTGATCTAGCATATCAGCTTCAGTTTCTCTCCCACGGTCGTAATGTAGCCTTTTCTATAAATATGTCCATGGTAATTGTTCTGATGAACTTTCTGCTGTGAAAGCGCCTTTACTAGATTTGTAACAAGGTCTCATCTATTTAAAGTTGATGCAATCGTAGGTTCTATGTTAACAATTCCTTCTCTTTCACTTCTTGCTTCATGCTTTCGCACTTCGGCTTCATGCTTTCCAGCCAACTTGGTTGGTTGTTTTGGTTTATGGCATATCAAAACCTCAGTGGGTCATTTAATGCCAACAATTTTTTTGAATAGATTCATAGCGATAGTTTGGTAAAAAAGGTGTGTATGTATACATATATATGTGTATATATATATATATATATATATATATTTGAACCATTTTTCAATTATTCATATTTTTTAGTACAATCTAACTTCTTTTAGGAAATTTACAATCTTGGATAGTTTTATTTTCGTAAATTTTTTTAAAATTTCTCACTTGGTAGAGAATAATTTTTCCTTTAAAAATTATTGTTGGTAATAATTTTTTTTATTACAAAGTATTTCTGGTATTAAAACCTATTTTTACACAAGTTTGGGTGTTAACTATTTGTCCATAGCTGGGACCCTAACAGGTGCTACTACCCCGGGTCATAGTGAACCTGGGAACATTAGCAGTTAAGAGATGGTTCCACGCTCCTCAAACCCTCCTGATCAGAGGCCTTGCTGTTGAATTTAGTTTATCGTCATACCCAGGGCGGGTCAACTTTGGACTTCAAAATTTAAATTCAATGTCAGCAATTATCTACTGTCTTCTTGATTACTCTTCTTTTATTGTTCTCAGTCCTTAATAACGTTCCTGCTTTTTTCTTATTCTTTAACATTCGGTAATAGCTTGCGCCCGGGTGGCTTTACTATCTTGCTTGGGGTGAAATGAATAGAAACGAAAAGCAAAAGAAAACGTTGACTATTTCTAACCCCTTTCCAGAATGTCTCTTCGTCAATTCTTTATATCCAAAACCAAAACATTAACTGTCCTGGGTATGACGATAAACTACATCCGGCAGCAAGGTCCTTGATCAAGAGGTTTTGAGGAGCACGGAACCACCTTTCAATTGCTGGTGTTCCCAGGTCCACCATGACCCGAGGCGGTAGCACCTATCAGGGTCCTAGCTAACCCCAGCAAAATGGATCAAAACATTACGAAAGTATAAAAATAGGTTTTAATACCAGCAATACATTTTTGGGAAAAATTTTACCAGCAACACATTTTTTGGAAAAAAATATTATCAA